TCGATTTGACCGAGGTAGAGAGTTCCGAAGTTTGGTTGGGATAACCCAGCTCACTGTTTGAAATCCACACAGGTCGCCTGCGACCTCGAGTCGCGGCTCCTGCCGAGCGGCGTGCCCGTCTTCTCGATCCCGCCGGCGTCCGTCGCGGAGATCCACCTCGGCTTCGACGTCGACAAGCTCCCGGGCCGCGCGCGGCGCGCGCCGGCCGCGCGGCCGCTCGTCGGCGTGCCCCCGGCGAGGTCCGTCGTCCTCTCGCCCATCCGGCCCGCGAGGGCCCGCGACCCGGCGTCGCCGCCGCGCGGCGCCAAGCTCGCGCTGTGACGAGGGGGGGTGGGGCCCGAGGGAGGGTGTTGTTCGCGACTCGGGAGGCGCGGGACGGTGTTCTTTGCACAGCCTGGCAGCTCTAGAGCTCTCTCTAGCGCATTAGGCGACGCACCCCGCCTACGCGCCTACCTCTGCGTCGCGCCGGCAGAGCTTGAAATTCGAGTTGCTGAAAATTGCCACAGCCTCGGACTTTTGCGTTTCCGCCTCAAATCGTCGGCTCAAATCGTGGGCGGGCGTCGCCCCGGGGCGCGACGTCGACGACGAGATTCGTGACGGCGTCGTGCGTGTGACCTGTGTTCGTCGCCATGGCCTCTTTCGCTGAAAAATCGCGTGCGCTTATCGAGGCTCTGGCAGCGTCGGAACTCATCGCAGCTTTCGAAGGAGGCGAGGACCGCGAGAGCCTCCTGAAAAAGGCGCGGAAGATTTGGTCTGAACAGATTTGGGATGGTCTTCCACGTTGGCTCGTGACTCGGCTCATGCAAGACCGCGACGGCGCGGACGTCGTTATTCCGACGCGTGTTCGTGCCGACTTAAGAGTCAAAGATCACGCGGGGTGGCTCATGGAGCAAGTTAATGATGCGTTAGACAAATTTCTCCTCCTTATATTCGACGAGCAAATCGCGGTACTATGCTCAAACAATTACGCGGGTAGCCCCGGGCCGCACGTCATTTACTGCTCCCGCTCTTCTGCTTTCGAAAACTGCTTGCCTCAGTTTCATGAGAATGAGCCACGCCGGGATTACTGGCACCGATTGGACCAAACGGACATTCCCATCGTCACTCCGACTCATGTCTCGTTCTTTAGCACGGCGGGCACCAGGTTTCAAGTCGAAAGACAGGCTGCGTACATGGACGCAATCGAGGCCATATGCAAGAAAGTCGGGGGCGGCCACGGACTCGTCGCCTGGCGTCATCTTTGTTTTGACAGCCTTTATGACGGCCGGTTCCGCAATCTCGCAGCGCGATGCTTCGAAGAGAACGCCACGCGCCGGGCGGCCGCGCAGGCAGCTTTCCAGAAGCTTCTTCTCGAATTCTACATTGGCATGGGTTTTCGCATGTACGAACTGCCCCCGGTCGGCGCGCTCCGGCGCCGGGCGATCCGCGGCCTGCTCGCGCGCCTCCGCGCGCTCGTCCTACAGGGCCGCGCGGCCTGCCTCCGCGACGGCTTCCTCTACGAGGCCGCGCCCGCCGGCGTCTTCCGGCTCGTCGTGTCCTTCATCTAGGCCCCCCTAATTCGCCGGCGCCTCGTCGGGCGGCGGGAGCCCCTTGCCCTGGACCGCGCACGTGAGGAAGTGGAGCATGAGGCCCGGCGGGCCGATGAGGTTCGTGAGGAGCACGGAGTGGGGCGTGAAGACGCCGCGCTTCTCGCCGTCGAGCCAGATGAAGCGGCCGACGAAGAGGTCCCACGTTAAAACATGAGGCCACTCCTCGGAGACGAAGTTGACGTAGTCCATCATGTGGTACATGGCCTGCTGCGGCGCGGGCGAGAAGGGGAAGCCCGTCGCGTCGAAGACCTCGTTGAACTCGGCGATGGGCGCGACGCCGTCGGCCTGCGTCGCCGAGATGACGACGATGGCGACGTGCACGAGGCTGAACGCGATGAGCGGCCACCACGGCTTCATGACCGCGTCCGCGATCGGCCGGCCGACGCCGCAGCCCGCGGCGATCATGAGAATCCAAAGTGGCTGCGGGCCGAAGGTCGCCACGTTGAAGAGCGTCGTGATGTCGGCGTTCGTGCCCAGGGCGACCAGGGCGCTCGGCAGGGCACCGCCGTCGCCGAGGGCCGCGAGCGCCGCCGGGTCCGCGGCGAGCGCCGCCGGCGCGCCGCGCGATCGCTGCGCGAGGCGCGACGCAGCGTACGATTGCGGCGGCGCGAAGGCCGCGGCGCGGCACGCCAGAGACGTGAGGACTAGCAGCACGCGTGCAGCCATGCTTTGCCACATCAGTGAGAGAACTGCTCCTTGAACCCCGATTGAAGCCTGTCTGTGGGTACGCAATGGCTGCGACGGCAGCCCCGTTGCCCGACGGCCTGCCGGCCCTCGAGGTCGAGAGCCGCGGGTCGTCCTTCGTCGACGGGCTGGGCCGGCGGCTGACGCTGCGCGGCGTGAACCTCTCCGGCGCGAAGATCCCCATGGACGGCGCGACGCACCGGCGCGCGTCCTTCGTCGACGACCCGGCGGCCGCGTCCTACGTGGGCCGGCCCTTCCCGCTCGCCGACGCGCCGGCCCACTTCCGGCGCCTCCGCGCCTGGGGCTTCAACGTCGTGCGCCTCGTCGG